TCCAAAAATAATATTATATACAGAGTGTTCCATTTGAAAAATCAAAGTTGCTACTGCTTTCTAATAGAAGCGGCAACACCGCATTGTCGAAAATATTTCAGTTGGCTAGAGAATGTCCGAATATGCCTTCCATCAAATTTTCAAAGTGATCCGTTGTCTGGTTCACCAGAAACGTATAATGTGCCATCCACCGTGAATCAGCCTGTATGGTGTATGAATGATAGTTTTTTATGGCTGATATTTTGAACTGTAATGTTGTTTGGTAGCTGGTTCATGATATTTTTCTTTATTTTTCCATTTCAAGTGACGTCACGCACAAAACGTCGGAAGCTACTTTATTGTTTTACTTTTTGATGTCATACACAAGCTCTATGAGCTTGAGTGGCTTGTCATGTTTATTTCTGCATTTCTTCTTGTTCATATGCATATGTATTAACTTTTCTGAAATAAACATTATTATTATCAAATCAAGATCTTCAGGTGATGTGGTGCTGCAGGTTTTTCCGGGTTTTCCTGCAGCAAATGCGCCACTGGAATCAATGAAGCCGCCCTGGAGCGCCAATTAATTTTTGTTGTTTCATAGTTTCATAGTATTAGAAGTTATTAAAGCTTCAAAACCGTTATCATTATTATTATTATACTCGAATTATGTACTGTTATGTAAATGTCAGTTGAATAACTGCACTTTTGTCAACATAACAGAAGTCGGCTAATTCCATTAGCATGAAAATTGGGTGCTCGGGAATAAATGTAGTCGACGAAGGCCGTTTTGCCTGGTCCTAATTGGCGAAAGTTCTTATCGAAGTGCTTGAAAAGATTGAAGTAGATTGGCGAGAGATCTGGGGAGTATGGTACACACTTCTCGAGCTTTTTGACCGTTCCAATAAGTTTTGAACCATTAAAAACCGCATGGGAGCTGACGCTCAGCTTCTCCACCACCCACGCACCGTTTTTGAAGAGTTGGTCTCCACCAAGGCCCTCAAATCCTCGTTCTGGATTATTGTAGGTCTACCATTTTGGTGCTTATCTTTCGGGCTGTTTCATTTTCAATTTCAATTGGCCAGAAATTGGTTAACGTCATCATACAGTGTGTAAAAGCCAAATGGAATAAATTCATTATTTCGGTTACTGTACATATTTAAAAAAAAACCGAAACACGTCAAATGTAAATTATAATTTGACATTCTTCAACGTTAAAATGCCAGCCCTACCTTCAACATCCTTCGAATGACAGGTACAACCCCCAATTTTGCAAATGGGAAGTATAGGTTTGTGATATATTGTTTGAAAGGTCTCTTCATTATCTATTCAAAAATGTTTATTGCAACCATTAAAATGAAATAAATTAAGATCATGTGCGTACCGAAATTCGATAAAATACACTCAAAAACTGAAATGTATTGCAAAACGTAATGAAATGTATAAAATTAAAAAAAGAACTATGGATGTTAACAAGTAAATGTTCAAAATGTCCACCGCGAACGTCTTGGCAACATCCTAATCTCAAATAAAATTGATTTCTAACATTTTTCAACATATCAGGTGTGACCGACCTAATCGCAAGCGTTATTCGTAATTCGTAATTCGTAAGCGTATTCCAACCGTAAATACCGCAACGAAAGCACCACTGATATCCTTACTAAAGTTAGTCAATAGTTTGAATATATCAATAGATCTTGATTGGACACTTTCCCAATCAGCATTCCGCCAAAAAATTTTGGAAAATATGTTAAATTTACCTATTTAAGCAGTATTTCCCTCTACAATTCTGGTACATATTTTATTATTT